TAGTCTCTCCTCATAGGACAATCCCACCATCCCACATATCATCCTAGTAGACCTTCTCCAACAATTCAATGTCCTTCTTGAGGAAGGGAGCCCAAAACTGTACACACAGTACTCTAAATGACGTCTTACAAGTGAATCTATACAGTGAAACAATAAGATCCATTGTCTTGTATTCAATATTTCTATAGATGCTACCCAAAATCCTATTAGTCCTATTGCTAGCTACAATACACTGTTTAGATCACTTGAGTGATTTTTCAATCACAACATCAAGATCTTTTTCTTCAACCACAGTATTTAATGTATTCCCATTTAAATTGTAACAATAATTTGAATTGTGAAAATCTACATGCATCACCTTACGTTTGAGATAGTTGAACATCTAAATCTCCTTGTAAGTCTGCTGCATCTTTGATGCAATTAGCCACCCCAATAATCTTAATGTTATATGCAAGCTTCAATATTTTGTTAGTCATTCCAGAGTCAATATCATTAATATAAATCACAAACAGCAGAGGACCCAGCACAGAGGTTATTCGTTATAATAATATAATTGTATTGTCTTAAACATAAATAAGGATTCATACTAGAGTTTATTATTTGTATTTAAAATTAATATAATTAATCATAAAAGATATAATGATTATAATGCAATGCACATTTTAAATTATAGCACAACTCTAAAGAATGTCTAGAATGGTATACAAATAACATGAAATTAATTTTGCTTTGGTGGGATGTATTTACTTCTGAATTCTTGAATCTCATGTTATGTTTACAACGGGACTTAAAAATGATTTAAATACTTGTCTGGTTTCTGTTTTTCATTTTCACTGTGCTTTTATGAGGTGAATTCTCTTGAAAGAACTGGTGTAGGTAATAACATAACCTTTTATATTGAATACTATTTTGTTAAATATTGTTTAAACTGCATAGCATTTCTCTGAAGATACTCACTGACATCTTGCAACAATCTTGCTACAAATATCATTAAAATCCTCATTCCTAAGTTTTATAAAATGCACATAGCACTAAAATATAATTGAAAATTATGGATATTTATGAAGAAATGACAAAAAAATAGTTTGAATAATACATTTTTACTTGTTTATAGATTAGAACATTTTCTATCACAGCTACATATACATTTAATATATTAAACAATAGCTGTTTTACATTATAGATCCTAATGCCATTAAACATGTACGTCATATCTTGGATTCCCATAATGTTACATTTGAATGGATTGCCCCTCAAGGAAGAGTGGATTACTACATTATTGTCTACAATGCAGTACAAAATCCTTCGGCTCAGCATTCACGGCAGGTAGGAGGCTTTAAGTAATTGCATAGATTGTTTTATTGTTATTTAGAGTTTATGCTGGTCAATTTTATGTTTAAATTATATTTAAAAATATATTTTTACTGTAGAAAGAACATCTCTGCAAACATAAATAAGAGAAGAAGTTGCAACTGGTTGATTGACAATTGGTTGATTGTTGATTGCAACTGGTTGATTGTTGATTCTAACTAACAATCCAGTAAACAGACCAGTGCTTTTAGAGCAGAATATTAAAGTGGTCGTAGGGTAAGAAATATAACAAGCAAAATATAATTCACAAAAATGACTATATATATATTGATACTTTCTAAATAAAATTACTTCAGTGAGATGTAAAAATTTTAATTCTGCAATCATACTGCACACTGACTATGTAATGTTACTGTTTGTGATTTAAATATATATATATATATATATATTTTATTTTTATTGTAATCACTGATCTATATCAGTTTTAACTACTAATAAGAATTTTTAAATTAGATACCTGCTAATGAAACACAAGGAGAAACAGTAAATGTGATTGTTGAAAATTTAAAACCTGGAGAACTATATTCTGTCAACTTCTATGCCGTCAGTAATAACTTACGAAGTGAAGGGATTGGAATCCAAACACGTACAAGTAAGTTTAAACTTTGATAAAGTTTTCTGATTCCTGGTATAATCCTGTATTTCGTTCATTCTTTGTCACATACTATTAATTTTTAGCTTTGTAATGTTCTTGATTTTAATGTAATAATGTTTAATCCTTTGGTATGGGGTCTGTAAAAAATCTAGTTGTTCTGTTTATATATGATTTTATATTTTATTTTTCATTAAAACATTTTTTATGTTTGTACTCTGTACCATAGGTTTATATTAAGCATGGAATGTCCTTTCAGTGAGAGATATAATAAACATCATGTACATTACTCTGTATGTGAGTCACAAAACTTTGAATGCTATTGTTTCTGAACATCTACTCTATTGTTTGTTTTGATTTTCAAATTATTCAGTAGTTGAATAGTATATAGGTATTAGTTTATGTATGCTTGTTATTGCTTGTATTTCTGTAAAATCACAATTCAAACTGTAACAATATTTTGCATTACTGTAGTTATCTGTGTGTACAATAATATTTTATAAATGAAGCAGAAAATATTTTGAAACTATGAGTCTAGTATGTGAATACTCCACTGTTGTAGTTAAAAGTTTCTTGAATATTACCAAAACAAAACTTATCTAGTATGAGAATCATGTTTCTAGAAATTAATGTGCTTAATTTATAGTTTTATGGATACAGGTAAAAAAAAGAGGTTAGTTTAATTTTAAGTTTAAATTTTCCAGAAGCACTCTTATATTACATAAATATTTTTGGGTGGGTATAGAATACTCCTTTTGAAACAAACCTACTCTAGTTTGCTTTATATTATATTTAAATTTTTATTGAGTTTGATCCTTTGGAAGTTAAAATATTTGATATCTTTCAAAATACAAAATTTTGATGAATTTTTTGTTATTTTTTTATGTGACAGTGAATCTTGGAATTGATACTTTGTATTATTTTAGAAGGTGCAGATACCAAAATACGAGTAGACATACATTTTGTTTCTATTCTCATGTTTTTTGCAGTGCCTGTCATTGATTCAGTAATAAATATTGTAACTGATGAACACGAGACACAGACATTGGGTATCAAATACACCCCAACTCCCGTAAGAAATGTGGTGTTTGACAGATACCGTTTCCAGCTTAGTGACTCAATAGTGCCAGCCCAAGAAAAACTTTACAATGACACAAATCGATTGGTGATCTTTGATAACCTTGTTCCTGGCAGGCTATACAATATAACAATTTGGACTGTAAGTGGAGGAGTGTATAGTGTTCCCATTTACAGACAAGCTCGGCTCTGTAAGTTTTGCTTCAGTTACTGAACATTCACTCATGTTTTAGCTCATAAAGCGTAAAGCTGATATGATACATTGTATCTAGACTTGATTTTGTACCTTTATATCACAAAAGTGTTTTTTACATAATGACATTCTTTTCTATAAAATTAAAGGAAATTTACTGTTAACAGCTGTAAGTCATAATCACTTTGAATCATTTTGTGAAAAGTGATTAACGAAGTAAATTATGTGTGTGTGTGTTTATATATACATATATATATGTGTGTGTGTGTGTGTGTTTATATATACATATATATATGTGTGTGTGTGTTTATATATATATATACATATATATATGTGTGTGTGTGTTTATATATACATATATATATGTGTGTGTGTGTGTGTTATATATATACATATATATATATATATATATATATATATATATGTATATTACTTCTTACTTACTTACCTATATTTAAGTAAATAAATTAAAAGTTAAAGGTTAA